AAAGGAGAGAGTTGTCTCAAGAGTATTCTGGTAAAGACTATAGGAGCATATCCAAACAACTGTGACTACAGCTGCACATATTTAGAAATTTAGGATCTATGGGGCTTAGCCAAACTCCCTGGATGTGGCTAAAAGAGCCAAAAACCTTCTAGAGAAGAGGAATGATTGAAACCTTCTTAAATGAGAGCTTCAAGTTCAAGGAATCTCAATGTCCGATTGCACCGTCCATTGTTTGAGAGACGACCGACAGGGACAACTTTGTTTTCAACGAATAAAAAAGCCAGTTTAAAATTCTGACAAACCACAAAGCTGGGAGAATGCCCTATGAACAGATGAGACAAAAAAATGAACATTTTGTCTAGACACACTAGCTCTATGTTTACGGACTGAAAAAAGAAGCATATCTAGAACACCGTCTCTACTGTGAAACATGGAGGAGGCTCTGTTATGATCTGGAGCTGCTTTGCATCATCTGGCACAGGATGTCTTGAATCTCTGCAAGGAAAAATAAATCTTAGGACTATCAAGTGATTCTAGCGGGAAATTTGCCTCCCAGCGTCAGAAAGCTTGGTCTTTGTCACAGATCAATAGGATAATGACCCAAAACACACAGATAACAACACCCAAGAATGGCTAAGAGGAAAACATTGGACTACTTTGAAGTGACCTCCTATGAGCCCTGATATAAATCCTATTGAGCATCTTTGGAAGGAGCTGAAACATGTCACTGAGGAAAGGCAGCCTTCAAACTTGAGACAAGTGGAGCAATTTGCTCATGAGGAGTGGGACAAAATACCTGCTGAGAGGGGCAGAAGTCTCATTGACACTTACAGAAATTGTGTGATTTCAGTGATTGCCTCAAATATTGTGCAGCAAAATATTAAGCTAAGGGTACAAGCATTTTTATTCAGGCCTTTTTCATATGTTTAATTTTGAAATTGTTGTGTTATTGCACTGTTAAAAAGCAATGTCTGTCATTTGTCCATTTTCATAGCTTTTATGTTAATTATTACTTTGCCAGATTCAAGTTATGTCAAAATTCTTATACTGATTTGAAAAGTAGTATATAAAAAAAATAGAAATTGTTAATTTTTCTAGCAAAGAGGATTTTATAAATTCTTCATTATTTCAACTGCTGCAATAAAAAATAAACAAAACATTTTTATTTTGCAAAGCTTTACAATCTGAACTAATATTTACAAAGAAAGCTGTAAAGACTATTGCAAGGGAAAATCATATGGTCATGTCTAAAAACTCCTCTCCTTTCACTGCTTAATAGTTTTAATGAACTAAAAGCTGAAACACATTTCAGCCAACATGAATTACAGAAAACCTCAAATAAATGTAAAAAATTAATTAAGTATTTGGTTAAACAGAATATTAAACTTTGTGCATACTGTATTGTACAACTTTATATTTTTGGTTCAAATTTTACTTTATAAATAAAATTTAGAAACGATATGATGAGGAATTGCAGAAACAGTTTTCTGTCTATGATAATCATTTGTTTTATGGCTCAAACACACTGATTTAACATCTTGAGTAGTGTGCAGATTCCCTTCACTCCCCCATACTCACATACTGTAAGCTCACAAAATAGGGAGACTAAGGAACTCATAACACCAATTCATTTTGAATGTTGTGTTTCCAGCACGACGTATGGATAATAAACCGCTCTCAACAATGCTTGGGGTATGTTAAAGCTGCTCTCCCCTGCTCCTCTGCAGCAATTCATTCTCAACCTGCAGCTCAGAAACCCCTTACAGACATACACACAAGCGCTCACTGTTTGGATCAAATGTGCTATGGCAAATTAACCACCTAACTCACCAGGAGGAAGCTAATGTAGCTGCAGGTGGTGACAGAAATGGAAAAGGATGGTAGATAGAGGTTGGGAGTGCTGGTTGCCCTGCTTCACTCAGCAGGAAGGTGCTATGTCTAATTAATAAGAAGGGCTCAACTTAGATCTGGTAGAGAACCTTGGGGCTTTTAGCATCCCGATGGGAAATCCCATCAAGATGGGAGGCACTAAAGCCAAACTGTCTGGCTTGTATTACTATATTCTGATAAAGGGATTAAAACTAATATAGTTAAAATTTAATAACCAATAATTTAAATACTAAGTATTAGGAATGGGGGGGTTGTCTAGGATATTATGTAAAAACAAACAACAAAAATATAATAGCTTTAATCTAAATGACAGATTTGTGATAAATCTTTTTCTCTGATTTAAAATCTCAGACCAATTATAAAAAACTCCCATTATTACGTGATCATTAGTGCATCAACAGGTTGAAGTAAGAATCAGTAAGAAATAGTCTGCTTTACCTCAAATCGGAAATGCCGTCAGTTTTTAGCAAAAAGAAGGAATGCAGAAGAGTTTTCCATAGAGATTGATGTGCACTCTAAAGAATATCACTCTATATTTTAATCTAGTACAGAGCTCTGATTATATATCTTAGTGAATAGAGTTCAGACAAAATCTCACATAAAAAAAAAAACTAAATAAAAAATTGTGTTTTGAAACAATCTCTTTCAGGTTACAGTGTTACAGACACACAACTGATGAAGCAGTAATTTCTGCATCATTATAAAGTTATACTATATACCCCTTTAGTTGCTTCCTAACTTTGCTTTATCATAGTTACTATAGTTAACTAAAACTAATGAAAAACAATGTATAATGTATTTTGTGTTAAAGGTAATAAATTAAAACTGTAGTTAAAAGGTAAAAAAAAACCTATAATCAAGTCACACTATATTGTGCCTTTTTCAAACCAACTAAAAAGTACTAAAAAATTAGACATCTTTTGTTTTTACATTCATCAATTGTCTTGGCAGCCTTGCAAAGTGAGTTTATATCAGCTGTGATAAAACCATTTTTTGAAAATGGTATCTTGTTGAGTTTTTATTGCATGAAAACCTTTTTATAAATGCAATACTTTTTTAAAAACATGACCGTACTAAATGCTGCATCTAAAAGTGAACTAAAATTTAAAAAAAAAGCTGAAATTAACACCACCATCACTCCTTGATTTAAACACTGCTAAAAAAAAGAAACACTCAAATAACAAATCCTAGCACTGAAATAATTAAATATTATCATTGAAAACGCTCTGTACAAAGTTGAATGTGATGACGACAACATCACATAAAAATCATCATTGGAAATCTATATTTTTAACCAATAAAGGCTTAGTTTTGAGGTAACACGAGAGGTGTAAGCATTGTCCTGCATTAGGAGGAATCAAGGGCCAACCAACCCAGCATATTGTCTCACAAGGGGTCTGAGGAACTAATCTCTGTACCTATCTAGAGTCATGATTCCTCTGGAGAGTGCTTGGAGGGATGTGCGGCCCTCCAAAGAAATGCCGCCCCTCACCATTACTGACCCACTACCAAAGCGGTCATGCTGAAGGATGTTTCAGGTAGCAGATCACTCTCCATGGTGTCTTCAGTCTGTCACATCTGTTACTTGTGTGTACCTGCTTTCATCTCAGCAGAGCACAGGGCACCAGTGCCAAAGTTGCCTGCCCTGGTGTTCTCTAGCAAATGCAAAGTGTTCTGCAGGGTTTTGAGCTGTAAGCAAAACCCCAGCTGTGGACATCGGGGCCTCATACCATCCTCGTGGAGTCGGTTTCTAACCGTTTGTGCAGAAATGCTCTTTTATGGCCAGTTGAATGTCATCTTGCAGGGCTCTGGCATTCCTCCTTGCACAAAGGCAGATGTAGTGGTCCTGCTGCTGGGTTGTTGCCCTACCTTCGGCTTCCTCCACATTTCCTGGTGAACTGGTGTGTATCCTGGTAGCGCCACCATCTTGTGGACACTACACTGACAGACACAGCAAACCTTCTTCCCACAGCTCGTACTGATGTGTCTGTCTCATGCTACGAGTGTGAAAGGAACCGCTTCTTTACTGTGTGTCTTGCTAATTGCCAATAATTTCCACCTGTTTTCTACTCAAATCTCACATCATGTGAAATTGATTGTCAATCAAAGATTTATTTAATTGACGTTATATTATCTTCCCTTTATTTTTTGACTAGTGTATGTAGCTTAAACTTCTTAAAGAAAGTTCACATGCTAATTTAAAGTAAGCTGGCACGCTACTCCTGACGTAACTCTAATCCCAAAGTGTTACAGTATATATGTACATATATGTATATGTGCTGAAGTATAAGCATCAAGCCACCAATGCAAGTCCTAGTTAAAAGTTAGTGATGATTAATTAACAAAAACACATGCAGGGGAAGAATTATGATAAGGCAAATGCTGTTACCAGCCTCCTAAAGGGAGTATCATGGAGTATCATGTAAACAGGATTTAACAAATGTGCACCTAAACTATTGTCAAAAAAGCTTGTCAAAAAACAAACAAACAATAGAAATAAACATCTTTATCTGAATGGAAAGTGATGAAGACTGATGGTGAGATGGAACGATCTCTGATGTGTAAAAACGACAAGCACCAAGTGGATTTAAAAATTTGGACAGGTAAAAAAAAAATGAAGTTATTGAAATAAGCAGGAAATGCAGTAGAATTTTCAAGATTAAACGTTTTCTTGACTATAAAATGAAGAAAAGAGTGAAAAGATTTAGAAAAACAAGACAAAATGTGAAAAAAATGTATGAAAGAGAAACACTTAAGAAAACAGAAGCAAGACGGTGATCTCAGTCATGGATGAAAGAGGAACGACACCAAAAAGTGACCAGATCCAGTGAAAGACGCTCACCCTTCTGTACAAAATGGCAGACTGAGGGTGAGAAAGAAGGCATGTGATTGGCTAGGCCCAAATGCCCTCCTCATCGTCCTATTGGTTAGTTCAGTCCAGCCGTAGCGTGAGTTCAGAAAAAGCAGGAAGTTAGTTAGGGAAAGATATTGTGGGTACAGCATGAGCAGTTATTGTTTTTGTCATAATATTTTCTGGTAATTTTAAAACCATATCTTGGTAAAGCTTCCTAAACAGTTAAGGAGGTTTAACAAGCTTATGGTGTTGTTACCTGGTCCGGAGAGGGCTTGTGATTGTTGGGCTGGTCAGAGTTTGGGGAAGCCACCTTCAGATGGTCGTCCTCATAATTGTCCGCCATCAGCTTCATCCTGTTCTGTGTCTGCAGAAAGAAAGGCAAACATGATTTCTTAAAGTTGTACTAAACAACTTCCAGTTTCGGCTGATGTTGGCTCCCCCCAGTGGACAAAGCTGTACTGTTTCGCCTGAATGAAGACAGCATTTCCCATGAGCACCATCGCCTAGCGTGGTAAAACCCTGATCTACTGGTCACCTGCAGCTGGATTGAACTATATTTCTGTTTCCAGTGGCTGTGTGAAAGATGAATAGCAACAAGGTAATGAAGCTAATTGTGGTGAAACTATGTCATATGACGATGTTGAAAATAAGAAACATTTAACTTTGGTTTTGTACCATATTCCTGCAGAATTTCCAACTCTAAAAATCGATTTGCATTTGCATATCCTCCACCCATCAAATATAGTGCAGCTTGCTCATTAGATGTCCTCTGCATATTAAAGGGAAACAGCGTTTTTTTTTTTTTTTTTACATTGGGCCGTTGATTTTAAGTTATTACATCATGTTCTACTCACCCATTTGAGTTTTGTGTCATTTGGAGCTGTTCTGAAGATATTCCGTTAGGTTATATCCAAGTAACGTCTTCCTATGGGCAACAAGTTGAAGGCACAAACTAAACTGTTCATAATTTATGGTACGCCAGCATTCATAACATGTAGGTGAATCACTGTCCCCAGACATCCGCAGTTATATTTTTTTATATTTATATCTTTCAAAAAAGAAGTGGCATGTGTATGACGTCATCAGCGCGCGCCGGCTACTGTTCATTTTTTCTGTCCGCCGAACTGCTGCTACTTTTACTCACATGCCTGGAAGGTGTCTAGTGCTACTACAACAGATGATCTCGCTCTCGAAATGGAATTGTACGATTCAGATTAGCTCGCCGAATGAATAGAAGGGGTAGAGCGTAGCCGCCTGTGGCTGTCTGTCACAACTCCAGTCAAAAATATAATCGCGGATGTCTGGGGGAAAGTGATTCGCTTACATGTCATTCATGCTGCCGTACCATAAAGGATAAATCATGAAAAGTTTAGTTCTTGTCTTCTAGTTGTTGCCCATAGGAAGACGTTACTTGGATATAAATATCTATAACGGAGTATCTTCAGAAGAGCTCCAAACGACACAAAATTCATATGGGCGAGTAGAACATGATGTAATAACGTAAAATCAAGGGCCCAACGTAAAAAAAAAAACAGCGCTTCCCTTTAATGTAGGAAACCAACATTAAATAGCTTACACCCACTTTCAAAAATCTTTAGCACCATTCAAGGCAGCAAAACCTAACTATGTCTCCATTAGATTTATATATATATAAATCTATCTACTGTAAATGCAACATATTGGTTAAATACTTTTCTGCTACATGGCTCAAACAAGTTATCTGGATATATACGTCCATGTGTGTGAGTGTATATATATCACACATCACACTTATCAGCACACAATTTAATTTTCTCATTTCCCTGTTCTATTTTTTCTTGCTTTTCTCCCATTATCACCTTGTCATCTCCTCACTCCTCCAACCGTAGGCTTCCTAGGATCCTCTTTCCATTTCCTCTCCTTGTCTCACAGCTTCACGTTTCACACATTTTAGTCATACTTCGGGTTTCACAGTAGGCCTGTAAAGTGTGAGGGGTGGGGGGGAATTTAGAGATAAAAAGCGAGGGAGGGCGTGGGTCCAAATCTGTTGGTGTTGTACAATCTAAATCCCCTTAGTCTCTCAGAGCGCTTCAAGGAGCCTGTGCTTGAACAGACCAGACAAGTTTTGCGTGTCAGTGTGGGCAGTGATCTTCATACAGGAGGAAAGAGAAAAATGTTAAATTTGATCTCATCTGTTTGAGGACCGGAAGAAAGATTGATTTTGTTTTTTTTGAGCCAATGATGGAAAAGAAATCCAACCCTGAATGAACAAAATAACATTTAATTTTTGGAGGGGTCTATTGAAAGTCCGGCTTTAGATTTCATCACAAAACTATTACATGGTGTTAAAAAGAAGATTTATTGTAAAACACTGAAAGGTGAGCAAATACAATAGTTTAAGCACAACTGGTCAAAAACTCCTCCATTATGATGTAAAAGATGTAGCATAAATTAAAACTTTTATACAAAAGGAGCCATGGTTTGGAGAGCTTCTACCTCTAAGAATTAAATGCAGGTAAAATGATAGAAAATCATCATAATCACAAAGGTAGACAACGGTTAATGCAAAAGGAGACAAAGCTGAGAAAAAATGTCCCAATTTTTTATCTGGTTTTCTGTTACATCTTCTCCCATTTCTCTAATTGTCAGGAATGCTGACCTCAGCTCACTTGCTCCTGTGCCAATTCTCCCTCTCACTTAATCTAATCATCACACCATTATTTCACTCCTCCTCCCTCAGACCTCCCTTTGCCTCCATCTCCATCTCCCCTCCACTGCAAACGCCCCCAGACCCAGTCTCTGCTTCAACCGAACAACAAGTAGAAAAAAAAAAAAGGAAATGAGGGGCAAACTGATGACTCAGGCTCAGAACTAAATTATTTCTTCTTGATAAGCCTCTGGGGAATTTTCCATCAGATTATTTTATCATGTATTGTAGCTTTTCATCGACAAAGGAAAACCTTTGTAAATATCAAAGCAATCATGGGCAATGAAAAGTTGCTGAGACATAGTTGGGCAAAAACTATTTTATCATGATAACACATTTAATTACTTTACCCATTTTTGTACATCAAAAAAGGCAACTGTTAATAAGTGGAAAATTAAAAATGATGGGGGAAAGGAGTTGAGTATAGTGCTGTGGGGAGTTATTTAATCCTGACAAAGTGTCTGCAGAGTAATTAAATTAGACCAAGACTTTTCACTTTGCTACAGTGGAAAATTTGAGTAATGGACCTCAGATTAGAGTTTGTCAATCAAATAAAAAGAGCCCGGTTCTATACCATTATAACAACGTTATATGGTCATTAAAGTTCAGTATTTTAAAGGCTCCAAGTGGTTTTGGGATACGTGACTAACTATGTTTATTTGCAACATGAAGAAAAAGTGCGTCTAACAAGAACAAGAGTTGTTGCCAGAACAGAGGATATTCCTCAACATCTTGTTTGCCGTTTCAAATCATATGTTTTTGCTTTCACTAAAACTCTGCAAGAATTTATCTCTGCCCTTCCTGATCCAACATACAGAAATGAAACGGGCTGGAGAGGAAGCAGACTGTGACAGTGGAGAAGAGAGTGAGGAGAGCTGAGGTCATCTTGATCTACAGCTGTCTGAAGGAAAGGGTCAAAGGCTGACAGAAAGGCAATGCTCTCAGGGCCAATTGCATTTTAATCACACAAACAGGAGGGTGGGGGGGTATGTGTGTGGTGAAAGTCTTACCACAACATGTTGTCACTTACAGGTATTCACATCTGCTCAGAATAAATCGTTTTCAAAGCTATGTTACAGCACGTTCTCATGCAGGTTTATGAGTGGAGTTTATATCTACTCTGCAATTCCAGCTGAACAGGGCTAGTTTTGCAGTGCATGACTTTAAAACAGACAGAAATTATGCTTTTATATGAACCGATCTACTCTTAGCTCTGATTTTATTACTCACGCTCCTCCTGGAGGGTGAACCAGAACAAGCCGATTGTATCCTCTGAGAAAGCAGTCGCATTCACACAGCATAATGAATTCTATATCTGATCGCCTCTAATATAAGCTTGAAAAAGTTGTTAACTTCCAGGGGTTGGTTCCAAGAAGCCATCCCCAATTGGGCCTTTCCCCTTGAAGGTTCCAATCCTACCCCCCCCCCAAAAAAAATCGGAAAAAAAAATAAAAAATACAAACTAGAAAACTTCAACTCCAGCTTTCTAGACTGAACTTGATCAAGCTTGACCACGACATGGATGACTGAGAATCTTCGCAAATATCGTCCAAAATCAGCTTTTAGGTAAATTAACAGCTCATTAATGGCATAGCTTTGGAAGACATGTCTCTATTATCGTTTTTCTTCCTGACACAGAGGATTCTCTCATGTCTGATAAATCATGTTGTGCTAAATGGTTACATTTTCATGGCCCTCTCCAAGTATTTTGCATGATCTGATAGTCAGCATAAATACAGTATCTTTATGGTGCAAACAGGCTAAATGGATTGCACAAGTTATTTTCCTCGTGTCACAGATGCATCTAGTCAACAGGTTACCTTTGCTCGCATTATCGCATTTGCATGTCTTAATAAATGCAAACCTTTAGTAGATCTCATTGTGTTTTTCATACAGATTGAAAAGCCACATTTTGGTTTCATCTGAGCAGAGCAGCCTTTGTGTCTTCCAAACATTTGAGCCAAATTGAAACAGAGCATAAAATTACTTTCTTTCTTTCTTTTAACAATGACTTTTCTTTGGCTGACTGATTTGGAAGGGGGTTTTGAAGAAAATATAAATTTCCATCCACGGCTCGGTTAAATTATATAATTTTTCGTTGGTTTATCAAAAAAAATTCCAATAAAAGACATTCAAGTTTGTGGTTGCAATGTAAAAAGTGGAAAAGAGTTCAAGGGTGTGTGAATACGTTTGCAAAACACAGTAATAATTCGGAAAAGGTTTTTTTTTTTATGTGAATTTGACAGCAGTAGAAAAGTTTTTAGATAGGAAAACCTTGAACTTCTGGCAAAACTCTTTTCACCACTGTACAAACAAACAAACCCACCCAAAGGAAGAGAGAGTTGGGCTTCTGTGCTGTCAGTTACCACCTTGGGGGCCCTGAGGTGTCATAAATGTCTTCATATGCAACATAAATAGACAAGATGGTGTGAGGAAGGAAGTGGAAGATGAGGGATGCTTGTTAAAGTGATTTCATTGGACACAGCTACTCTAAAACACCAAACTCACCACCACCTCAGATTCAGATTCTCAATACTACTTTCTTAGACAAAACATTTAAAATTGAATCTGTTTTTTCTCATGTTCAGTAACTTTAACCTAAAATAAACTTTAGTCTTGTGTTATAAATTAGTAGTTTTACCAAGAACAACCCAACCTCTGAATACAGCCCTCTGCAACCACAAGGGTTTTTGGTCGTGTATATTGCTTTGCTTTTGGCCTTGGGTGAGTGTGAACATAGTGTCGACACCCCACAGTGGCGAATTACTCTATATGCAAGGCCTTTTGTTAGAGTATATCTGGGAGAAATGTCTCCATTGATCCAAATATCTGGGTCCGTATTGCCAGTAAATATGGGTTAAAGACTGGCTAAATTTTCTCCTGGTGGTTAGAGAGCTGTGGTCACATCTGGACTCACTTTCTGGCTGCCTTCCTTGTTTTCCTTTCTCTCCTCATCACTGCCACCTCACCTGAGCTCCCTTGCTTTTTATTTACACCTCTCTAAATATGGCTCCCACCTTCCTCAAGTTCATTCTATCATTATTTTGTATCTATTTACCACTTCTTTTGTCATTTTTCCATCCCTACTCCCCTTCGGTTATCTTTAAACCTGATCAAATATCTCTGCGCAGAAGTTTGCTGATGCAAGGCCTGAGCTTTCCATCTTACCTGCTGTTTGAGCTGCTGAACCAGGCTATCCTTCTCCCTCTTCAGGGCTGCCACCTCTTCCTGCGTTCTCTTCTTTTTGGATGAGGAGAGCTCCAGCAGGGCGATGTTGGCATCCTTCTCGCTTATGGCAGCCAGCAGCGCTTCTTGCCTGTGAAGAAAACAATCCAGGGTAGATATTTTATATTAAAATTTTCTTTGAAATATATTATCCAGAGCAGATTAGGATAACTGAAAAGTTCATGCAAAGATATATAAAGGAAAGTTGTAACTTCATGAGGTATTGACCTCCTAAGGTCAATTCAAGTGAATCTCAGCCTGAAACTTTTAGAAACATTAACCTGAAATATATCAATATGTTAGGACTATTATTATTTGAGTTTCCCTTATATGGTAATTTAGGTGTAGATAGTTTAGGTATGAAAACCTTAAAACTGAATAGTGTTTAATCCCTTTCTTAATTATTATTATTTTCCCACATAATGAAATACAAATAAAAACTAAGAAACAAAATAAATATAATAATCAAAACATGAAAACATTTTTGATTTAGAACCAAGATAACATGAGTTGAGTAATTTCGACTTCATTGACTATATTTTGAAATACAGGAAGAGGATTCTGGGATTCAATGCTGCTCATTTCGGATCATACAGTAACCTTGATATGTTTGAAAAATGTGTTTCTTTCTAACCTCCAACTTCAGGCTCCTGATGGGAAGCAGAAACGCACATGAAACCACCATGAACTGCAGGGGGAATAGGGATTCTAGTTATAGTCATAGTGTCATAATGCAGAACCAAGTCCTCTGTGGGGGATTCTGGAGGATTTCACAATTTCAATAGTTTGATCCCCTAAATAAAAGTATCAGACACTAGTGATCCCCTAATGGTGAACTGACTGTATGCTTTCACTCTATACACAGAGTGAAATAATCATACGATTTCTAAAAATAAAGGTATTTAAGAATTTCATCATATAAATTTATATTAAAGGTATAGAGGACGATCTTTCATTTCCAGGTGGATCATTTAAAAAAGTGGACTTCCTATAACTGTCAATCATTCTGGTGATATGTTTACGTAAGGCCGTCCCGTTAGTCATCTTTTTATGCGCATGTGCACCTTCAGGCGTACGTCTGTGATAAGCTACGGTTTCAGTCAGTGAAGCTCACCTCTCTCACCGCGGTTCTTTGAAAACGGCAGAGGGTCATAAGAGAAAAAGTGTCTAAAACATGTTCAGCAGACTGAAGATGTTTTGTCGTTATCTCCTCTTTCATCTTTTTTCTTTTTTTTTTCCTTTCCTGTTCTACTTACATTACAGTGTCCATATAATCTGTAAAACTCCCTGCATAATTATAATAAAGCAATTCATATGCATAAATCAAGCATTAACATTATGGCGATAGCTGTACTGCCCCACTTGTGAAAGTAAAATCTGTTGGGCTCTTTTTGGCATCAAGACAATTATTCTTATTGCCACATTGGACATCAGCAGAATCACAGTGGCCCGCTGTCGGCGACTACAAACAAAGATGGCGCAAGCATCATGCAGTGGAGGAGGAGTTATGTGACCAATGGAGCAAAAAGCACTGATCATCTGTTTGAATGGTCAGTTAACTAAGTTTACTATTAAATCCACTATATATTCCTCGCTCTATATAGTGATTGAGGGATTTAGGGGTTAGGGCAGACATTCAGGCACAGGAAGCTTGTATGAGCTATGAGAACAGCAACTTTTAAATAGAGCCTGCACAAGGAAAAATGGGCTCATGCACGCTCTGGCAAATGCATTTTTTTTAAAGTGAAGTGGCGGGTCTTTTAAAAAATGTGGAAAAATCCTCCACAATATCTTTAACTTTATAATGGGATGTCTAATACTCAGTTGTGCATCTCATAATTTTTACATGATGTGTTTTAATGCAATTTTATTCTGAATAATAAAAGGAGCATTTGTTTATTTTATTATAAATAAAGATTTTTTTATGTTGCTTCTTGCTTTTACCCTTCTGATCTATAAGCACATGAGAACCAGTTTAACCAATTAGTTGCTCCTCAGATGTAATAAGCTCTCTCATTGGTCCTTTTGCGAACCAAGTGTTGCAGTCTAACCAATCAGAGGACCAAAAGGGTCACGGAGAAGGTAAATGGAGAGCGTGAAGTAAAAGGAAAAAAAAAAACGCAGAAAGGATTTGATAATGCAAGGAAACAAGGAATAAGGAATTATCTTTTGTAATTGTGTGATTAAGAAAGGTATTTATAATCAGATATATGAGTTTTTAAATCTCAGAAAAGCCAAAGCAGGCCCCATCTCCAGCCTTCCTGTCCCCATATAACTCTCCCTCCTAGTTTGATCGGGAAGCTGACAGATGAATAACATGAATAACATTCTTTGTGGCCTGAAAGCAACAAGCCGCATCAAATTCATCCCATCAAATTGCACCGAGTTAAGATCCAAGGCTGTTAATTCTCAGAATCAAATGTTTTCAGAGGGAATCTAAATCACCAGAGGAATTTTTACATTCCCACAAAGCTGAAGTAAGGGACACACACACATAAATACACTGAAAGCTAAACATTTCTAAAAGAGTGGACTTTAAAGAGCATAGCAATAGGCAAGACTTTTAATAAACAAATAAATAGCCCCTACACAATGTTGAAATGAGAAAACGTCTGCATATCAGGATAAATTATGTAGTTAATTTAAAAACCTTAAACAAACAAAGAGTTGGTGAATACAACCGTTTTAAGACAGGTGTAAAGGCTGGGTTGCTTTAACAAACACCAGATTGTTAAGTGTGATTAGCCTCCTGCTGGTCAGTAATTTGACCAACAGAGGCTCCAGCTGAAGCAAGCTATAATCCAACATCTGAGTGTTTGTGGATGTGCTGGAAGGAGTCCGATAGCTCCAGCATGAGCTGGATATCAGGGCCGATCCTTTTGGTGCTGCTTGAGGAGCAAACATCGGACCTGACAGCAGCGCTGGGTATGTTCTGTTACATCAGGACATCCACAGACGTCTATCCCAGAAATGACAGAGATGAAAAAAAATAAATCAATCAAATGAGATGCTGTTCATTCCAGTTTTGTTCCTTATGTATACCAGTCTTGCATAAACACTGACACAGCCTTGCAGGGAGGAATGCAGGGATGAAGACATCTAAATGGAGATAGATTGTGTGTTTGGACTAAAGAAAAAAAAATCCTCGGTCAACCTCACCGACCACAGCTGTCAGTGGAAAAATCTCCCATCATGCATCTAAAAGTAAGCAACGCTCTTGGGTTGGTACATCAACTCTAAGATAGTGAGACATCTGTGAGAGAGATAAGTTTATATCTATAAAAAGTATTTCTGTTTGGACTATAAACAGAAAGTATTTAAACATTATCAGCACCTTAACATATATATAACATATATTTTAGCACATAAGCTGTTGCATTTTATGTGTGTTCCTGCCTTCATTTAGCCGATTCAGATGGCTGAACAAACTGCACAGCTTATTTGCAATTTACTGAAGTCTTGTAATGAACTGATTTTTTGTTCCAGGTGATCTAAACCAGACATGTATCCAAAACATGCAGGACATCAGTTTAAAAAGACTATTATTAACATTCTCCTATATTACATACACACAACTCCTATTACATACAATGTACTTAATCTGGAATATATATATATATATATATTTTAAGATTTGTATTTTTTTTTTGCTTAATTTTAACTTAATAATTTTGGACCCTGTAAGCTGCTGGTAACCTTAATTTATGGAGGGAGTCTTCCCAAGGGATCAATAAAGTACTGTCTAAGTCTAAGTCTTCTGATATGTTGTTTGGAGTTAATAGACCTTTGAAGCCAGAAGTTCACACCTAAAAAGATTAAACATGTCCAGTTGTTGGTGCTATTGTACTTCACTCTAAAAAATGTAAATACTGGAGTTTGCTCAGACTGCAAATATATTTTACAGTAGCCCTGGTTTAAAAAAATTGGAAAGACTAGAGATTGGAAGGTGGAAGGAAGAAAGATGGAAGGAAGCATAAAGAAAAAATGGATGAATGTTTTTCCATGCCAGTTTCCTGGTCCATTCAGGCCTAGAAAACATGTGAATGGAATTCCAGACGTTTTCAGACTGCAAGTAAACCCTCGTACATGAGGAGTCTATTACAATTAAACATCTGAGCTACTAATTATAATAAAAACAACATCTTTTAAATGCATGTGCATCAATCAGTGTTCCATCTATGCACTAACAAAATAGTTTTACATTCCTTTCTCTGGACTAAAAATACTAAAAGTGAATTGACAGCATCAGAGAAAATTCACTAAGATTCACACAAAGAAAGACTAATGGAATATTATTCTTATTAAAGCTAACAGAGCGTCTTTTATAGACTTTTATACCATATTTGAGTTACCTGCCAGTACTCGGCACGTATAAATTGCTGGTGATAATACTATATTCATTCCAGATGCACTTGTCTCATTCTGGGCCTCTCCCTTCATCTCTGTCAGACTCATACACAAACACATACTTAAGACACTGGACTTGGCCTCCTCAGCTTGCAAAGCTAAAACACGTGCTCTTGACAGGCGCTGGCTGCAGCTACTGCTGTTGCTATGTAATCAGAAAGACACTGTTTCCAGAGCAGCAATCTTTTGGTAAATTGTGAGATGAGTCGTGTGTCAGATGGCTTACAGAACTGCGTGCTCCTGGCACTGCCTGCAATATGTCATTATCACAGAAAGTAGAAAGGACAGCAGAGCGAGCAATGGGAGGATGAAAGATCCCAAGAGGATAAAGATCTTTAGATCTGAAACTCCTCTTTCAAGTCAAAGGAACAGAGCAGAATAAAGGAAGGCCACTAAAAGTAACTAAAGAATCAAAGCTTTTTGAGAAGGTTCACTTCAAGATGCTCCGCTATTCACCTCCATCCTTTGTTTCAAATTCTAAACTTATCAACAAATCCAAGGAGGAATGTATTACTTTATGTCAGGACTGTACTATACAGTAGTAGGTCTGAATACCCAGAATGCCGAATGGCCGACTAATAACCACGCACAAGCTTTTAGACAACATTTCTATGAGCAGTGCGCTTGTGCTTTGAGAAGGTTGCAAGTACCCAGTTGGATCCCCACAGCCTGCACTCTGGGTCC